TAGGCTGAAGAACTCAAATTATGAATGTCCATACAATTTGAGTCAAAATTACACACATACACATACACACACACACACACAACCATTCTAAGTGGTGTAACCTGGAGTTCCCTCCTGTAAAATGTGCACTCCACCCCTTAAAGCCATCTCTCCAACCCCTAAAATGAGTGCAGTTTAACTATTCTTTGGCATCATATGAATGTTTTGAGTTTTGGAGCATTTTAGGTGTTTTTCTTGATGATTGATGTTTTCTTGCTGATTGATATTTTTGTTAATAAAATAAATAACTTTATGAAATAAATAAACTTAATGAAATAAATGACTGTTAATGAAATAAATGATAATGGAGAGTGTAGACGATTTTAACAATAATTTTTGGGTGCTGGCCCCTGTCTTAAATCATTTGAGACCTGGCTCTTGGAGCATCTGGTATGCTGGACTTCCCCTCTGTGCTCAAGTATTTTTGTTTGTTTGTTTATTTAAAAGATCATGGAGTTGTTCCTCATGGCATATAGTCGGGCACTTGAGTGTAAGAGTGAACTCTGCTCACTTCAGCAAATCATTGACTACTTGAATTTATGACATTATACTTCAGTGATACAGCACTCATTTGGCTGGCCCATGTATCATTATGTTCAAGAGCATGTTAGAAAGGCTCATATTTAGAAGGGAATGTGAAGTGAGGGAGAGCTTACAATGCCAAGGTCACACTGTGTTGTTAGTGTTTATTAGGGAAGAGGCCATTGCTTGCATTTATAATGAGTTCTTTATCATAATAAAAAGTAAATAGGAATGTATATGTTGGAGGAAGAATTTATGCAGGATATGGGCTTTTTTTGGGGGGTTGGTGCTGCTAGGGATTGAAATCAGGACCTCACACGTAAAGGGCAAGTGCTTTGTCACTGAACTACATGCATCCTTGGTCCATTTCGCCAATTTAAATATTTACTTAATTCTTCAAAAATATATATTGATTTTTAGTTATGGTGATAGTGCAAGGGATCACTTGGGCCTTGGGCCTTGTACATGTAAGCAAATGTTCTACCTTTGACCACCTCTCTGGCTGACCCCACAAGATGATTGCATTTTACTCAAGATACAATCTATGATTTGAGGATTTGACTACGAAATATATTTTGTTGATATTTTCAAAGTATACACCAACAAGAAAGGACACTTCTTCTTATTATCTTACTGAGGGACATTGAGTTTTGGGTCACATACTATGATGCTCTGGGACCCCTCTTATAGACGCAGCTGCAAGTGAGAGAAAGACCTAACTTCTTGTACCATCTTACTGGCCCCAGCATACATATTTCACATTTACAGTGCAAAGTCTATAGCGGAGGAACATGCGTAGAGTGCCAGTTTCCAGATCAAGACATAATAAATTGGCAGTGCCCTAGAAGTTTCCCGCCTTTTTCCCAGTGACTTTATCTTCCCCCACAAGTTAACCATTATCCAAACTTCTAACATCAAAGTTTTGTTTACCCTGATTTGATAGTTGCTATGAAGACTATAATCTGCACTCTGTGCCTTGTTTTCTCTGCTTCCTTTTGTTTGTAAGATTGAACCATAGTCAGTTGCAGGTTGTTTTTATCATCAGTGTTAATTGTGTGGGTAGTCCACAATTTATCCAGTCTACTGGTAAAGGAATACACACAGTTTCTTTTCTGTTATGAGTGGAGTTGCTCTAAACATGTTCCTATATGAAATGAATTTTCATATTTTGGTTTTCATTCATATTTTAGTACACTTGCTATGTACATATTACTATGTAAGTATTTCATAGTAAACTTACTGTGCAAGTATAGACCTAGGAGTATAATGAATGGGTCATAAACAATGTTCAAATTCAGCATGAAATAGATACTGCCAAATGTTTAGCAGTTAGATAAAGTGATTAAACCAACTGACATTTCCACAGTAGTATGGGAACTGTGAATTTTATTTCCTAAAAGCTGATTTATGGGTAAACTCATGTGTTTAGGTTAATTTCAACGTGTTTTAAAATGGAAGGAAATAATCATTCTTCTCTTATCAAATCTTTGAAAGCTAATTTCTTTTTATTTAAATTTTATTGAATCACCATGAGATAGTTACAAGCTTTCATGTTTGGGTTATAATCACAAAATGATCAAACACCCATTCCTCCACCAGTGCACATTCCCCACCACCAATATCCCTGGTATACCCCCCCCCTTTCCCACCCTCCCCCAGCCTCCATGGCAGACATGATTCCCCATAATCTCTCTCTACTTTTGGGCATTATGGTTTGCAATACAGACCCTGAGAGGTTATCATGTTTGATCCTTTATCTACTTTCTGCACACATCTCCCATCCTGACCATTTTCTCCAGCCATCTTTTTCTTGGTGATCCCTTCTCTATTATATCTGCCTTCTCCCCTTTGCTCATGAGGCAGGGTTCCAGCTACGGAGCAATCTCTCTGTCCCGTGTATCTACTATCCTTAGGTGTCAGCCTCATGATATGTTGTTTTATACTCCACAAATGAGTGCAGTCCTTCTATGTCTGTCCCTCTCTTTCTGACTCATTTCACGTAGCATGATACTCTCCATGTCTATCCATTTATAAGCAAAGTTCATGACTTCATCTCTCCTGACAGCTGCATTGTGTAGATCTACTAAAGTTTCTTTAACCAGTCATCCGTGCTAGGGCTCTTGGGTTGTTTCCAGATTTTGGCTATTGTGAACAGTGCTGCAATGAACATATAGGAAGAGATGTCATTTCTACTGTGCTGTTTTGCATCCTCAGGATATATTCCCAGAAGTGGTATTGCAGGGTCGTATGGAAGCTCAATTTCTAGTTTTTGAATAAAAGCTAATTTCAGTATTTGTGTGTTCATTCACCTTTTTGTCTTCATATACATTTAACATTATAGGTCTTTTTTTTACAAAATAAATTTTATTTCATAGGCATAAAAGGGCAGAAGAGAATCATAGTGATTCTCCTGACCCAAGAAAAGGGAAAATGGGTTTAATAAACATAAGACTTAGCAAACTATTTCATAGAGAGCAACGAATATTTAGATTTATTATTTATTTAATTATTTTTAATTTATTTTTTGAATCACTGTGAGAACAGTTACAAAGATTTCAGGTTTAAGTCTCAGTCAAACAATGATCAAATACCCATCCCTTCACCAGCGCATATTTTCCACCACCAGGAATCCCAGGATACCCCCCCATCCTAACCCTCCCCATGCCTATGAGGCAGATTATTTCCACTTAACTCTCTCTCTACTTTGATTAAATTTATTATTTTGACAAAAGATGCACCATTATTATTTGGAATTTTCTCCCAACAATCAAACCTACTGGAAAGGCATCATGAAACAATTTGTTTTCTATTGCTGGTTATGTAGAGCATATGATTTTGAATTTCTGATATTTTACTAATTAAGTCTGGAGGGATTTCTTCCAAAAGCTGCATAGTTCCAAGATTGGTTTGTGTGCCTCTGGGTCCATGGCTGTGAGGGACAGATGCTTATGGGGGGCAACTCGTGGTCTCAGCAGGGCAAGAAGGACATGCCGGTTCTGCACCCCATCTCATGAGGCCGCAGTTGCCTCGTCACCGCTGGCTCATACCTGGCTGTCCAGTAAGCTCTGAGGTGGTGACCACTAGCCGCCGGGGGTCGGGGAGGCAGAAGAGACAGACACCGTTTCCCTCCCTGGATGGGGAGGGAGGGGGGACACAACACCATAGCTTAATGCATAGTCCATTCACATCTCTGCCAAAAGCCTCTGGGTTCCGAATTAGGTCCGTGTGCCTCTGGGGCCATGGCCATACCAGAAAGCCCAATATTATGTCTTTTATATGTTATAGATAACATGTATACATATTTCATCATACAATCACATAAATAGACTACTTATGGTTTAATCTGTAAGGCCACCTCAGAATCAGAAGTCATCTGTTTCTTTTGAACTTGCAACAATCCAACTCAAGTTTAAGTAATGATGGAAATTTTCTTCATTCCTATTATTATTAACTCATGTTTTTTTTTTCAGGAGTGTGGTAACAACTATTTCCTTTCGTTTCTTTTTCCACAAATACATTTTTATACTTTGATGGATGAGAGATAAAACTTGTTATTCACTTTTGTTTGGGGGATCATAGCTGGTGTAGCTCAGACCTCACTATTCACTCTGAGCTCAGAGTTCACATCTGAAAGGGCTCTGGGGACTATACAATGCCACATGCAATCCAAGTGCCTTAACTCCTGTACAATTTCTCTGACCCAAGCTCATGATTCTTATCACAAACAAATCACAAATCATCCTGTTATTCGTCGATTGCCTCCAGCAGGCCCCAGTAACGTCTCCTTCATCCTCATCCTGAGATTATGTTCAAGGCTCTTAAGGAGAATGAGACCCATCATTGTTACTGGTATTTGGCATATTGGGTACCCCACGGGGAGTTTGCCAGACTCTGCCGTGTGGGCAGGCTACATTCGGTAGCCTGATTCTTATAGTAAAGTTTAATCTCTTCAGTTAGAGAATGATTTGTAGTTTTGAAACATCCATTTCAACATCAACAGTGTCTTGAACCATAGGCAGTTTTCTCTGGAGAACTTGAGTGAACAACCCCTGTGAATAAAGAAAAGCAAAACCAGCGCAGAATGGTTTTTTTTTCCCTGCCTTAACACCTCTCCCACACCATTTTCATGAGTTTTCTGCCATGAGCACACTTCCCCCACTTTGTCTTTTCAGTGTTTAAAATGAAAATACAAAAATTCACTTAAAAATCACTGTATAAAGTAAGAGGAAAAAGGAAATTCTGCTTTTGTTTTTAAATATAGAAAACTAATTGTGTTTTAAAATAAAGAATACAAATTTTTAGATGAAAGATGCAATCTAAGATTTCAGAACTTTTAGCTTGTATTCATATTGAAAGAACTTTAGAATACAAATAAGTTTTTTTCCTAGATAATAATTTAAGGTTCATGAATATTAATAGTTTCCCTTTTTTCTTTACAGGCAAGAAGAGACCAGTAGGAGAGTGAAAAATGTAAGATATATTTAATGGAAATTATAAATGACTTTTTTCATGTTCTGTCATAAGGCAGTGGATCTAACAATATCTGATTTACTCTGTATTCTTTTTAAAGTATTTTTTCTACTTTTTCTCTATCACTGTCAGAAACCATAAATACATTCAGATATGTTTAAAGTATACATTCTATAACTTTATGATCTAGACTAAGCTAAATATGGGAAATGTAACACTCTGGTTAAGTGAATTTATTTCAGGATTTTTGGGGGAATAAGTTAAAAAGCTGACTTTAAAAACACTGAATGTTTGAGAACTCTGGATTATAGCTGTATGTCTGTGTGTGCAGACCCACACACGTGCTTATATCTAATACTGTGCATATATTATAAGGATTTCTAAAAATGTAAGAATAAAGAAACCTAACAATTAAATATCCTTATCAAGGAAATTGAGAATTATTTTAAGTGTTCATTCTGTAAGTTGTGGAAAAGTACTTCTTGCTTTACAAGTTCATTTATTTAGACTAAATAATTGACAGAGAACACTGGTTTTATTTTTTTACTTATTTTTTAATTTTTATTAGTGAAACACCATGAGGTACAGTTGTAGACTTACAAATTTTTGTGCTTGGATTTCAATTATACAATGATCAAATACCCATTCCTCTACCAGTGCCCATCTTCCACCAGTATCCCAGTATCCCAGGGTCCCAGTATCTCTCCCACCCCATCCCCCTACCCCACCCTGCCTCTGTGGCAGGGCATTCCTTTTAGAACACTGGTTTTAGATATACAAGGTAATGACTCAGTAGTTTTAAAAAGTTAGCAAAATATCACCAAAATAAATTGAGTTAATATTTGTCATCGTAAATAGTTAACAATTTTTCTTGATAGAATTCATAAGATTCAACCTATTAAATAGTAAGGTTAATTTTTTCTTTCATTTTGTACTTTTTTCTCATCTTCTTTTGTACTAGGTAAAGTATGAAAATAATTGTTGGCTTCTGAGCTTTTGCCTGAGAATTTTCTCGGTCAGAGACTGAAATTCAAGAAGAGAGATGTTCAGTGACCCTTCTTTCTATAATTTTAAAATGCTACTTTTTCTACCATACATATGTTACAGTGCTCATCTGATTTGAGCTTGCATTTAGTTACTAAATAGACTGATGTTATTGTTTTATGAAATTTTCTTTCAAAGGTTTTGATAACATTGTACTGGCTGGGAAGAAAAGCACAGAGTAACCCCTACTATAATGGTCCCTATCTTAATCTGAAAGCATTTGAGAATCTCTTAGGACAAACTCTGACTAAGGTAAGGTCTTCGCATCTATTTGAGATGACTACTATAGCTAAGACTGCTGCTGCTTTCTTCTCTTCCTCTTCACTCTCTACTCTTCTATCAAGTTTTCCCTCTCCTTTTTCCTTTCCACTTCTCTTTTACAGCTCTGATGATCTTTGTTTCACTCTAGATTAGACTGGGTAGAGAGGACCATTGCTCATTTGCTAGCTTAGTATATACTACCATGGAGCGCATCTATTTCAAAGCAGTTTCTCTGGTATAAGATCTGAATAGGAAAATTATTTTTTTCTTTATTGTTTCCTCCTTGGCTTTTTGAGTTACACCTGGAGATGCTCAGGGATTATTCGTGGCTGAGCACTCAGGAAGTACTCCTGGCAGTGCTCTGGAGACCATATGGGATGCCAGGGATCAAACCCCGGTTGGTTGCATGCAAGGGAAATGCCCTACCTGATATACTTTTGCTCCATACCAAGAAAATTATTTTTTCTAGAAGCTCATTTATCCATGGGACTAGGCAGTGCTGGGAATATATATAGTCAAGATAATATTTAACCATCTAATAGGAGTTGCTCCATGGGTTTTTGTGTTGAGTAAATGACTTCATAGGAATAAAGCATGTAGCATTAGTCTCTTGACACACTGGAAAGTTAAAATTAAATGTTGGTTCCCATTATTGGAAGATAGACATTTTAGACAAAGGTAAAAGTAATTACATTGTCTTACATCTGCCTGAGTCTTTAAAATAGTTTTGCTGGAGCCCAGCTAAATATAGTACAGATAGATGAGTTTATAGAACCTAAAAGTTTCAAATATTTATTTTTAATTTTTTAAAAATTTTGTGAAGAGTCCATACTTCAAATTTTCTACTCCAGTTCTTTAAATCAGTTGATTAGGATAAGAATTGGGATGATCATGCATGAGCATTGCATTAGGTGTTGAAAAACACTTCCAAGACAATGACACATTGTCATAGAACACATCATCTGTGGAGACACATAAGCAGATGGGATCTGCAGTGGAGGAGAGAAAACACTACTGATGGAACGTGATGGGTGCTTTGGGTATAAGTGCAGCCTTGCCATGTAACACTTTCATTTAGGAAATACCTCAAGAAAAACAGTGTAGTACGTTGGCTTCTGTATTCATATTCTAACTGTGTTTGATTGCTCTTATGGTAGTCTCACTCAGGCTGAACAATCTACAATACAGTATGTTTCTGCTGGAAAGGCTCCTAATGCCAAATCAGAGTAGGTCAAAAAGAGAATTTTTAATGGATAAAAATACATGGGAAGTTCCATTTTATCATTATGGAGTGGGCCAAAAGTGATGTGTGGCTTTTCAATTACTGTTTCATATCTGTTCTGCTAAAATATAGATAATTGTACTCCTAAATTTTTCCATATTGATTTTGATGATGCTCAGTGGCCAATCCAAAATACAATTAAATGTTGTACTAGTTGCCATTCTATAATTTGAAGGCAAGTAATTTTAGATGACTTGTCAGTATGAAATCTCCTAAGTAAAATGAATCTCTCCCCCACCTCAAAAAAAAACCCCAACATGGGTCTGGGGAGATAGTACAACAGACAAAATACATTTGCCTTGCATGCATTCAAAAAACTAAAACTAAAAGCAATCCCCAGGCACTAGTGCCAGATTCAAGTTCTTGTGTTGGCTGAATGTCTGAATCATCATAAGTTTATCATTTTTTGATTTGTTTTGGGTTCTGGGGCTTACCTATGATATTCAAGGACAGTGTCTAGCTTAATGCTTGGTAAGGCTCCAGGGACCATGTAGTACCAGGAAGAGAACCTGGGAATCACATGTATAAAACATGCACTATGAGCTATCTCTCCAGTTTATGAGCTATCACTCCCCTGACCCAACTTTAACTTTTGAGGTCAAAAGTCATCTGATGTGTGAAACTCTAAATCTCAAAGGGAAAAAAATGCATGTCTAATACATCTGATGTTTCAAAAGTTTACTTAAAATTCTTCTATTTTGAGACTGCGTTGAAGGTATCAGCACTGCCATCTGCTTAGAGATCGAGTGCAAGGTAGGCACTTGTATCATCATGACAGGATGTCAGTTCTCCTGCCCAGCGGGTTGGCGTCTATAACACATGGAATCACACATAAATTTGTTCGACATTATTGGAACTTCTAACGTTTGTCAAACAGTTCAACCATGAACTGACAGATCTGGTCATAGCAAAATGTATGGCTGAGGCAGCTGCTAATTATTCATTGTAAAGACTCCTTTTTCAGCTTTTTCAATAAGTCGAGAATATTCAGAATTAAAAGTTGAAAGGATGGTATAAATACCCAGTTCTATACCACGTAACTCATTATTAAAGCCAATATTGGACATTCTATTTACACATTTTCCTATTTTTACAGAACCATTTTAAAGTTATTTGAAGATATTTCACTCCTCTATACTTCGCATGTATCTGTTATGAGTATGAGCACTGGGCCAGAGAGATAGTAGAGTACTGCAAGTAGAGTGCTTGTCTTGCATGTGAACAACTCTGGTTTCACATATGGTCCCCAAGCCCATCAGGAGTGATTCTAAGTGTAAAGCCAGGAGGAAGTTCTGAGCACTGTTTGGTGTGAGCACTCCCACCCTGCCAAAAAAAAGAAAAAGAGTATGAATATTTTTCCCATCTACAACACCTCATTGGGAAATTTGACAAATATTTTTTTAATTATGTAATGGTCCCTATTCAAAACTCCCCAGTTGTCTCTCATCTCTTTTATATTTTGTATCTGAGTCATGATTTCTTCATGCTTCACATGTGCTATATTTCTTAGGAATAATTAGGTTCTTTAAACTGTATCTGTATTAGTAAGCTTGTGGAAGGTAAAGCATTCCTGATTTTTACTCTAATGACTAAAGTACCTTCACCTTATTTTAAATTACAGACTTATAGCTCTTTGCTGATAACTCTACATCAGAACTATGTCATGGGCTTTATAAATTTTACCTAGATAATATTTTTTAATTGAAATACCATGAGATACACAGTTACAAAGCTGTTTATGATAGATAATAATATTTAAATAGTAGAGTTGTCTTTTGCTAGTAACATAAAGGAATGTTAATTAGAAATTCCTTTTTGAGTCAATTCTATGTGATTCAAAACTTAAAGCTAAGTGATCTTTGCCTTAGTTCATATATAACTTACTTAAGCCAAGCAGATATTTAATTTAGTTTCAGGAAAATGTTTTGTATGACAGTAAAAAAGTCTGCTTTCTTTTATTTAGATCAAGGTTTCATGATCATTTAAAAATTAATTCTCTGCAGTGTAGATGGAGGAGGGAGAGTCCTTGCCACTTCTCTCTCTCTTTCTCTCACTCTCACTCTCACTCTCTCTCTCTTTAATAAATCTTCCTTTGTTAATAAACTTGACTGCCTTAATGCAGACCACGCAAAACTATTTCTTGGATACAGTCTTCTTAATTTTGATATTTAAAAAGTTGATGAAGTTTTTTTTTCTGACTTCTTTAATGCTTATTATTAGCTAATAAGCATAATGAGCTTATTATAAAATAATTGATTTTAGTGTGATGGATTGTGTAAATATAATCAAACTGTTTTCCTATCTTATTTTAAAATAGTTAAACTTCATTGAATAGTATTAGACACCCTCTTATTGTTGTGGGAATAGAGTAAACAAGTATTGTGGGAAAACAGATTTTCTAATCAGTGTTTTTCATTATCTCTAAAAGGAAAATCACATTGCCTCACCTAGCAGCTGGTCACTACTTGACCAAGATCCAAAAAAAAAAAAAAACCAACAAAAAATCTCTACTGCATGTATGGAAGTTCTTGCTGACTTACTTTTCCAACATGCCTCTTCTAGGCACTTGAAGACTGCAGTGGTCTGAAAAGAAGTGGCAGGGACAGTGGCTACGGTGATAGCTGGTGTGTAGAGCGAGGGGAGTTTCCTGGCCCTGCAGGGAGCCACAGGAGAGAAGATTCCTTCGAGAGCTTAGACTCTCTGGGGTCTAGGTCATTCACGAGCTGCTCCTCTGATATCACACTGAGAGGGGGACGTGAAGGTGAGTCACTTTTTTTTTTACTTTCTTGCCCATTCATTGTTTGCCTCTTGAATTGTTTGTATATGATGAGAATTTAGGAAATGGGAGAGTGAAAAATTGAATGATTGTTGAGGTAAAGTATTTTTCTGAGAATGAATTTTCATAGAGAAAACTTCCTTCCTCCCTCTCTGCTTCCTCCTTTGTTGCTTCTTCCTTCCCTCCTTCTCTTTCTCCCTTTCTCTCTCTTAGTATATTTATATGTAATTTAAATATTTATATATATTTGTATATATAACCTATACTTATAAATATTATTTATATATATTTGTATATATAAAATATATTTATAGATATAATTTATATTTATATATATTTGTATATATAAATTTTATATTTATAAAATATATTTAGTATATATTTCTTCTCTTAGTATAGTCCTACTACAAGTGTGTTAGTTTTACTTGTTCTTCCAGTTTCAGAGCAGTCCAGGGAGGAGATATATTAACTGTGATCTTTTTTTACCAATAATTTATCCCAATTACTTTCTCTTCAGATTCAAGTTTAACAACCTGTGCTTATGAGCATAGTAATGGGTATATCTAAACATAAAAAAAATAATTTGTAAAAGTATGCCTTCTTTCCTGAGTAATTTTCTTTTTCTTTTCTCCAAAGGATTTAAAAAAATAATAAGCAAAACTGGAAAAAATAGCATATTGCTCTCCATAACCCCCTCCCCCAATGAAGCAATTGCTTCAGATACCAATCATATATCTGATAGATCTTAATAGAACAGTATTACCCTGAGCTTTGACAGATCAAGCTATATTGCTAGCGTACTGTGAGATAATGTTTTTTGGTTCTATTAGGACCAGAGCTGACCCTGGACAAAGAAGGGTCAGCTGTGGGAAGTAGTCATCTTTCAAAACCCCAATATCACATTTAAATCAGTCATTTCAATGCAAGCCCAATTCTTATGGCTATTTGGTGACGTCAGAAATTTCTGATGGTTGATCTCATTGTTTAGCAAAGTTGGTAGTACTGTCCACCCACCCCATAGTTACTGAAACAATGCAGAGGGCACTTTCTGTTTGTTCACTCAAAGAAGGTAGTTTTCCAAGGGGGTTCTGGGTGGTTGTTTTTTAAAAATAATCTGAAAAGCTAGTGATAGGCCAAATAAGTTTGGGACCTCTAAACCTCCAGCCACTCAAGTTGAACTGGATTAAAATGGCAAATAAATGTTTCTGTAAATATAATGTTCTCACCACCATCAAGATGTAAAGAAAAAATAGATACTGCGAGGTTGTGAATTTGTGCTGATCATAAGGGATGGATTTTAATTTCTTATTTCTTTTGAATCCTATATGAAATGTTTTATTGGATTTGTGCTGCCATTTAGGATTGAGACCTGAAATTCCTCTGGGTTTGCAGCCGCCTACCTCTTGTGCTCATAGAGTTAGAGTCTGACTTTAACAATTGGCAGGACCCGTTTTGTGATTTCGTGCTTTTTTTGTTTCACTTCCTGCATCTGCCCTTATCTCGAATCTCAGAAGTTTAGATAGCTGCCGGCTTGATTTGAAGTTAGTGAGTTTCCCTAGAATTTGTTCTAGATGCAATTTTAAGTAGTGTTGACTCTGTTCATCTTATTGATGTGTGTCCCATTAACAGATGTTATGAAAAGTCGAAGGGGCAAGGGATAGCAAGATGAAAGTGGGTTCAGCCACAAATAGAAACTTTTCTGGCAAAGAATGTGCAATGGTAAAAGAATGTGTTGCAGGCAGCTCCAGCATGTGGAACAAGTTCCTCCTAATGGATCTTATCACAACTTCATGTCAAATTTCTAAAAATAATTCCCTGCAGTTAGCAGCCGAGTGCCGGGTTTCCAGGGGAAAGACAGCAGCGTGCTCTGTGCCTCTCATTTAGATGGATCATCGGGAGAGTAAGGCAGATTCTCGTGCCTTTTGTTTTCCAGGTGGCGAGAGTGACACCGATTCTGAATTTACCTTCAAAATGCAGGATTACAATAAGGATGATATGTCCTATCGAAGGACTTCAGTGATTGAGCCCAAGTCAGCCTTACCCTTCAATCGCTTCTTGCCCAACAAAAGTCGACAGCCATCCTATGTGCCAGCGCCCTTGAGGAAGAAAATACCGGACAAAAATGAAGATAACCGAAGAAGCTGGGCAAGCCCGGCCTATGCAGGAGCAGATGGACCATTCCCAAGGTACTGGTCTAATGATAGAATTTTAAGGTACTTTGTGAGTTTGCTGGGATTTTAAGCGTGATCGATGGACTCTCATTTAAAGTATATTTCATGGATTCTGTATTGTATTTCTCTAACCAAAATTTTCTTTTCTTACCTCTGTTTTCAGTCGTGCCTCTCTTGGAGAGAATTCTTCTGTTTTAGAATGTCAGCCTGTAATCAGGCTTATTTTAAGCCTGATCTTAACACTTCCTCTCCCCCTCTCATCCCTGCTCCCCCCATCCCCAATGCAAGCCTTTAGCTTATTGGTATCTTTCATCTCTGGGGAATGATCTAGATGGTTCACGATGAGCTCTGATGTATTATTTTTCTTTCATTTTCCCCTGTCATGATTGATCTCAGTGGACACAGAAATAAAGCTTCCATTCCCCATCAGCGTGGCAGAGCAGAGCGTGACTTTTCAAATCCATTTTGCTATGGGGAGGGTGGAGGGATCTGACGGTGAACTGGACTTGGTGGATGAGCAAATGTTGCTTAGAGTAGTTTGGGATGATTTAGCCAAGTGAAAGGGAGGCTTGAGAATTTCATCTTAAACCATCTCTCCTAACTCTTGCTCACAAACTCTTTTCTTCCACTGACCCTCTAGCCACTATATGAAGTGACAAGGTCAGAACCAGCCCTTCTCTGTCGGAATGCCTATTATGCTGGGGAATCTTAATCCATCAAGTAACATGCCGCGTGGTGTGGCAGTTTGCCCTTTAACCCATCTTCAACCTGCGTGTATCAAGCTGTTCTCTCTAATACAGTATGCTATTGTAATGCCACCACTTTGTTCTAGGACCTGTCATGATGAGAAGGGGAACTAAATAGCTTCATGCGCCACGGTGTAAACTTTGTGAGCCAGAAAGCATGCCTTTTGTGTTCTGGGCCACATTGGTTCCTATAGTGTCTTAACTGGTTGGATGTTTTGAACAGTCACGAGAGGAGAACTTGGGGCACGCGCGTGGAGAACTGGTCAGCAGTACAAGTAACCTCCCACTCCTCTCGCTATTTGGAAGAGGAAGGAAGGACACGCATGCGCAGCATCGCCAGGGATGATCTTTATGTGCGAAAGCTAAGTCCCAACCTGCCGACCCCAGGGAATGCTTTTGATCAGTTTCTTCCCAAATGTTGGATTCCAGAAGATGTGAACTGGAAAAGAATCAAAAGGGAAACTTATAAACCATGGTATAAAGAATTTCAGGGATTCAGGTTTGTCCCCGTGCATGTTTCTGCTATTCCTTCAGTATTCTGGCTGGATGCATTCTGTATGTGCATTTCTTGAGAGAGACAAAAGTTAATTTTCCCTCCAATCGTTCTAGAACCGGTGTCACTGAGAAAGATTGTCGTTTGCACTTAAACCTTAGGATGTCTGTTTTTAAAGAGCCCTCTTCTGAGTGCAGTCAATAGGGTGACTTTATTTTAGTTGGTTCAGTGTTCTCCAATTCTGTTTCTTTTCCTCCTTCCTTTCTCCGCATTACCCCATGGTAGAAGGAACCCCGACTCTGAGGATGAGGACTCAAGCTCTGACAGAAGCTCCGCCTTTTTTAGTAGAATGCAAAACACAGAGTGTAGGCTAGAAAGCAGTCTCCAGCGACGCTCACTCTTGCTGGAACTGGCTACCCAACGGGCCAGAAACTCATGGGACATCCATGCAGCCAGGAGAACCAGTGGTGCTACAGATGAGCCCAGGTGTACCTGTCTGCATGAGCCTGCCTGCTTGGAACCTGGCCTGCGACATCTGTCCCAGCTTCTGCTGCTACCTTAACTTCTGACCGTGACGTGTTGAATCCTGGAGCTCTCCCTATTCACTTAGTAGAAAAGCATAATCTGTAACATCCTGCTTTCTGTGCAAGCATGTAAGCTTAGAATTCTATAGGAGTAAATCCTCCTCAGGACAATAATGTATGACAGAGTCTATGATTGCATGCATTTTTTTTGAAAGCCATTTCTCAAAGGCTTTGGGGAAGTTGGCCTAATTCTACAGTTGTGCTACAAGTGGAGATGTGGAGAAAGGAGATCATATTTAGGTGCTGGAATGGCCAAAATCTGGTGGGAAAATGCAAACAAAGAATTCATCAGGGTCTTTTATAAAACTTCAAAGTCTCCCCTCATCCCCTTAAAATTTCCTGACTACATTGACTACTGCATAAAGTGCCTGAAGCTCTGCTCTTGAAACACTCTAAGATTGTGATTGTTTCTCTGGGAATGAGCTAATTTCTTATGGCTGATGCATGAAGAAGGCCAAAAATCTCAGGAGTGTGTATTTCAGGAAGGTGTTTTCTCATCCTTCTTTAGCCCCATCCCAGGACCCTTGGGTCCACCCTTCCTGCCTGGGCCCTGGCCTCTTCCCTGATATACCCAGGGAGGGTGAGGGAGGTGGCATTAAGTGCCACTCATTCTTCTCAGCAAGCATCCCACCTGTGACCCCTAGAATAACGTACCCACTGTCACTGCCTAGTTGCTCTCTTCCTAAAGACCTGTGTTCCCCAAACTTAATAAGATTCTCCCTTCCTTTTTCTTTTCTATGCTTCAGTCAGTTTTTATTACTTCAGGCCCTCCAAACATACTCGGATGACGTCTTGTCTTCTGAAACACATGCCAAACTGGATCCCACTGCGGGCCCCAGGCTCATAACCCGCAGAAGGAATCCCTCTTACGCATTAGGGTACAGAAGAGATGACCTTGAGATGACAGCCTTGGACCCCGACTTAGAAAACGATGATTTCTTTGTCAGAAAGATGGGGGCTTTTCATGCCAACCCCTGTGTCCTACGGGCTTTTGAAGACTTTAGAAGATTTTCTGAGCATGAAGATCCTATAGAGCGAGATATCATTTTGCAGTGTAGAGAAGGGGAACTTGTCCTTCCTGATTTAGAAAGAGATGACATGATCATCCGCCGGATCCCTGCGCAGAAGAAGGAGGTGCCTCTGTCGGGGGCACCAGATCGCTACCAACCAGTTCCCTTCCCTGATCCCTGGACACTTCCTCCAGAAATTCAAGCAAAGTTTCTTTGTATGCTGGAGAGGACAAGTCCATCCAAAGAAAAGAGTAATAGTTGTCGCGTGCTGGTTCCTTCCTACCAACAGAAGAAAGACGACATGTTGACGCGTAAGATCCAGTCTTGGAAGCTGGGAACGGCTGTTCCTCCCATCAGCTTCACCCCTGGGCCCTGCAGTGAGGCCGACTTGCGAAAATGGGAGGCCATCCGGGAGGCCAGCAGGCTTAGGCACAGGAAACGGCTGATGGTTGAGAGGTTAGAGTGTGTTTCTGCAAGGAATTTGCTTGTCCTGGTCTTGTGTAATCTGTGTGAGAAGGTGACATCATGTTGCTCAACTCTGCATGTCCCAAGCCATTTGGAAGCATCCTGCAAACATTTATTTTGCTTTGAGAAACCTGTAGTCATGTTGTGGGGAAAGGTGCAATTCCATATTTGCACATCCCTAAGTCACCAATTGGTCTGCTTCAGCTGGTGTAGACACAGACCTTGCCTTTGACCTTAGGAAATCTATAGATACATCCTGCAGCATGTTTCATGAAAATGTTTTCCATTATATTTAATGACTTTCATTCTCCAGGTCCATGCATTTCTGAAGTAATCTGGTTGTCATTTGACTTGGAGATTTGGAATGGATGATTTTTGTGTTAAAATTTTTTCCCTTAAAATATGGCATTGCAAATTGCATTTGATCCGATTTTAATTTTTGGATTTTTGTCCTACATTTCTTGGAATATCATTGTGTGACTTTTTTAGTTCATAAAGTTTGATGTAAATTTAGTAAAATGCATGAATTTTATTTGCTATCTAAATTGTCTATGTAATTATGGCCATTTTGATAAGGATTCTGCATTTATGTGTTATGCAACTTGCTGTCTTGATGAATGTTTGTTGAACTTTGAGATGGACAAATATGATTAGGTTGAATAAAATTAGTAGATCCATATCTTTTTTATTAGTTCCTGGCAAGAGTAAGCTATTTGTTATGGATTTGTTGGTTCAAAGTAAATTAAAAAAGCCTTTATCTTGATTAATCTGAATTCCTTGAGTTATGAGATCAATGGGAATTTGAGTCATTATTAAGAATGTGATAGAAGAAGCAACCTTTTGAGATTTGTCCATCTCTAGTTAGAGTCTTAAGTCAAAGACCTTGAACATTTTGGAACAACCTAACTGGAAAAAATGACTTTCTTTAATTTTTGGTTTTTTGGTTTCTTAGACTCTTTCAAAAGATTTATGGTGAAAATGGGTAAGTTTTGTAGTTCATAACAAAAATGTATGCATCTTGTCTGTTATTGTCTGTATAACATGTCATTGCACTTCTCTCCTGGCATGTCACTAAATGGGGTGCTGTGTGCTATGCATGAAATTTTTAAAATGGGAATTCTTTCTTAATGTTATAACCTAGTGGTCATACTTCTGCACATGCATGTAATGCTATATGACAGCAATAAATGATTAGAAGTTTAAAATCCAAGTCTAGGAGACCAGAATGTTAGTACAGTGGGTAAGGCACTTGCATTGCAAGTTTAAGTGCGGCAGACCTGGGTTTGAACCCCAGCACACCATATGGTCCCCGAAGTAATGCTAAAGGTGATCCTTGAGCACAGAGCCCTGAGTAAGCCCTGAACACTGCCATGTGTGGCCCCAAAACAATAACAACAAAAAAGCCAAGTGTATATTTCTTAAATTTAAGGAGGATTAAGGTAACAAAAGAATTTATATTTTGTACTTTATTTTGTCTTATTTAGGGATTTAAATATTACATAGGCTAAAATTCTGATTTCTGTTTGTTAAAACTCAAACGACTACATTTTAGGGAAAAAACTATGATGGAAAAACAGTTTAGCATTTATTTTGAGTTTGAGAGTATATGCAATTGGCATGATTGTCCTTCCCTTAGTAATACTTAGAAAAATCTTCAATACTCCCAGTTAGGGTCAAAGTTATAATACAGATATGCTATAGAATCCAGTTGGTGTTTTAGTACTACCAAAAACAAAACCTTGATGGCTTTCAATAGTGTCAAATATCAAAATTTTCACACTATAATTTTAAACTATAGCAGATTCTCAAATTTGGTCTACCGTTTAATTCTAAGTCATTTGGTATTCTGGCAGCTTCTTGGAAATATTTTCCAATTCCAGAATAACTGGGAGAAATGCTCTTACTTTTTCCTATGCACTAAATGTGTAGAATCATTTTTTCCCTAGTCCAGAATAGACAGATCTCTCTCTTAATATTTTTTAGCAAAATTTATGTAATTTTATAAATCTTATCTGAATAGTGCTTGGCAGAGCCTGGCAAGCTCCCTGTGGCGTATTCGATATGCCAAAAACAGTAATAACAAGTCTCACAATGGAGAAGTTACTGGTGTCCGCTCGAGCAAATCAATGAACAACGGGAGGACAGTGCTACAGTGCTCATTTGAATAGGGAGGGAATTTAAGCATGTCAACTGTTTCTATCTGCCTAAGACTTAGTAGCTAAACGTCTTTTATTTTCTCCTATTTTAATTTATTTCATCTTTCAGATTCTCTTCCTTTGATAGCATTTTGGCGATTTTGATAATTTAGAGATCTTGGAAGTTACTAATATTACTCTTTAAAGTATTATCACTGTTGTAAAGGTCAATGGTATAATTGAGCCATTGGCAGCTAATTGCAAGTACCTCTTAGGCACTTAGTTTAAAAATCAAGTTGCCTTCCCATTTCCAAAGTGCCAGACTACAGACACTTTATCTTCTATCCAGATCTTGTGTTGAAAGCATTTTCCCATTTTTTCAGTGAAGGTGAACAGGTAGTTTTCAGCATGACTCTTAGGCAATGAAACTTTCTGTTCATTGTGGGAAAGCTGTCTCAACTTGTGAAAAATCTCTTTGTGATTTTAAGTATATTGAATGATAACTTTTAGAAGAAGGTTATTTTTATGGTATAAACAAATTCTTTTTCTTTCTCCTTTGGGAGAGAGTGTTTTGGGTCATATCCAATACCTGGGATTATTCTAGACTTGGCTATTCAGGTGCTCATTTGTGCTATAAGACCATGCTGGGGATCAAACCTGGGTCTCCCACTTGCAAAGCATGCATATCAGTCCTTTAAGCTGTCTCCCAGCCCCCTCTTTTAAAGGGGATATAAATACCTTGAGAACAAGTACTTACTGGGAATGTATAGTTAAATTCAGTGACTATACCTACTTCTCCTTAATCATCATTTGATTCTGTTTTTTTTTTTTTTTAAAGAGGGAAGCAAAATGCCATAACTCAGAAGCTAACACTCTCTCTGGGGTTTTCATTAAATGGCTTCTGCAGAATATTTCAAGATTGTTGCATGTATACTGTAATATTTAATTTATAGACTGTTTCTTATACAGCTTAGTATCTAGGTAATATCACAAAGCAAAATAGTCTGTTGACTAATGCATGACTTTTAAAATAATAGAAATGGCATAAATATGTATCTAGAAAAGAGTACATTTTAAACCATTTGTAATCAAAATAATATGGGATTTTTCTCCTATATTCTGTTATCAGTATTCTTAAATTTGCTGCAGTAAAATAAACTACTTGGATCAAGTGTATGTAGGCTTTTAATCTAGAGCAAGTGATGTGTCTAAGTAATACTTCACTGTGTAGAAGATACATCATCAAATTTTGAGCACTTGGTAAATCATTATTGTTGACATCCCATAATTGAAAAACTAGCTGTCTTGAGAACTATTTTTTTTTTGTTAAGGACCAATCATGTTAATGAAAAAATGAATTTCCCGTTAAAGTCTTTATTTCTGGCTTGCTTCTTATTTAGCATTTAACACCTGTCAGTTTGCCTATTTCCAGTAAGTTGCTTTGTGTGTGGCAGTCATATCCCACATGTGTGCTTTTGTGTTGCATGAAGTGATATCTGCCTGATTCTGTGCTGTTTGCAATTTTAATTATGATGTTTCTTGGCAGAAGTTGTTAAAAAAGAATAGTGTTGAAAGGGTATAGAGAGTTTTTCAGTATCATTCAGACATTGCCTCACCTACAAAAATCAATCAGAACTGAACAGTGATTCATTGTGAAGTTGTAATCAAAGAGAGCTAAGGCAACTGTATATGGATTAGGGGTTTTGGTCAAAAGAGTCTGTGGAATGTAAGGACATGTACAACAGCAAGGAAGGGAGAAGAAAGCTGATGTGAGTTACTGGAGAACTTTGCTCTGTGGAGACATTTGACAATGTCTGTAGATATTTGTGATTGTCACACTAGGTGAGGTGAATGGAATGTTACTACTGACTTTTAATGTCTTTATTATAACCAAAGTGCAGCTCACTATCTTGCAGTGCAGCCCTCCACAACAAATACTTTTCTACTCCAAATGTTAGTAGTGCTTTCATAGAGAAATTCAAATTTAGATGATATAAACCTATAAATGAGAATTTTTAATTACATTCTCATTCTAGTCAGTGAAAATTCTTACTAATATCTTCTTACCAAGATATTAGTATTGATAGCTCATCAGAAAATTTCTGTAGTATCTAATTTAAAAATGCATTTGGAGTTACATGAATAATTGTAGTTATATCTTCCTTGAAAACTTGCTTCTCTTCCCCTTATCTTCCCACCCCTACCCCAGAAGGATCCATGGTGGTATCTTTTGAATCTTTACTTCCTAGAGGAGTAGGTGATCAGCATCGTGGAAGATATTTGTGATCTTGTTTTATGGTCTACACTTTTTTCCTTAAAGTTTTTCCTTGTTCGTCTCTTAAACCTAAATGCTATGTGAAAAAAACCACACACAACAAATACACACACACACATGCACAACTACTCACTTGAAAAGGCAACCAGGTGTATTTGGTTTTTGGTGAAGAAATTGAAAAGCAATTCAAAATTGGAGCTTTTCCAAATAAGGGAACAAAGAGCATATCTAGGAAATATAAGAGAATTGTGATTTGCTAGGACTAGTAGTTGATTCAACAACAACAATAAAACTTGCAGTTATGTAATCCTTTAGCTTTACAGTTTTCCTAGGGCTCCTCATGGTGCATATCTCAATTTTTTGAATTGGACAGGTAGATATACATGCATTTTAGAGATATAGAGAAAGACGTATTGCCGCTTTCTCACGGATATACAGCTAGGGGTAGCAGTATCGAATTTGGGCTTTTTCCAATGAGATAATTCATGTCTACCAGTAGTTTTGGTCCATATTGCGTCTGCAGAATCTCATTAGGAAGGAGATGATGCTTAGTGGTCTGGCTAAGAAGCCCCAGCACTCGTGCTCACTTCGGCAGCACATATATTAAAATTGTAATGATACAGAGAAAATTATCATGGCCCCTGCAAAAGGATGACATGCAAATTTGTGAAGTGTTCCATATTTTTTTTTTAAAAAAAAAAAAAAGAAGCCCCAGCACTCCCAAAGTTCTAGATTGGATCATTTTGGCCTGGGGTGACTTCTTCACTTGGAAATTACTTTGGTAGTTTTCAGGAGATTGAGTCAGTCATATTTGCCTTAAGAAAACTTGGTAATTAGTGTCAGATAGTTTTCAAAAGTGATCCATATAGTCTCACCCATTTTCTTTCTGCCTGCTGGCTGAGATCCAGCGGCAGTTCAGCAGTGTTCGCTTGGGATGGAAATTGCTGCCCCTGCCTGCCTGGAGCCCTAACTTTTCTCCGGGTCTTATTCTGGAACTGAGTTTCATTTGTCTTGAATATGCCCAGTGATTATCCAAGTGATTTTCTATGTATTACCCAACCAAAGGAGTTCACCTGCCTGCTTCATGCAATGTCATGTCCATTCTAATGATATTTGGCTCACTTCATTCTTGTCTGAGATCTCTTATGTATTTGTCTTTGTACTGTGAGCCCCCAGGGGACATTGCATTCTCTGCTCTTGGTGAGGGCATTTTCTGAAAAAGACACATGATAAGATTTGAGGCATACAGGGAATGAGCACTGAATGAGCACTGAAATCATTCATGGATGATCCTGGCCCAGTCTGGACCTTTCAGAAGAAACAGTGGCTTGATGAGGGGATGGTAATGATGGATATGGTGAGAAGTGGTTATATGCTAGGTATATGTAGAGAGAAGAGTGACAAGGGTTTGCTGATGGAATCAGTTATATTTCCCACCTAGCTATTGTAAATGTGTTATAAGAGAAATCTGATGACATTTCCAAAAAGGTAGAGTTGACAGAGAGATGAATCCAGGATTACCCCATGGTTTGTGGCTGAAGTAATGAGAAGGGCCAACCTCAAGTTGATTTTTATTGAGAAGGAAAGAAATATGAGCAATCATGTTTCTAGTTCTTGGTGTATTAAGCTTGGATGCCTATTAAACTCAACTTGAGAAAGAGCCAGAAGTTGTATACACCTATCCAGAGTTCGGCAGGGATCCTGAAGAATGGGGTGGCATTTAAATAGGCATATATATTGGTGATGAGCTTTGGAGTTGGAGGGAATAGTTGGGAGAAGACTGTGCTAAATTTTGAGGCTGGATGATGATCTAAGAAGCCACTTTAAAAGTCTTGGTAAAGAGTTGACTGTGCTCTGATCTAGGTTGTTGGCAGTAGAAATGGAAAGAAAGATACTGAATAAGGGGACTTGATAACTAATTGAAGGTAGGGAGAGGCAGAGGTGAAAATTCATTCTTAGGTTTCAAATGTGGAGGTTGGAGTGCAGATAATGCTTGTAATAGCCCCAAGAGGGAAAGCAGGTTTGGGGACAACTTTGAATGTGGCTTCATCAACAGTAAGCAAGTGTTTAGAGAGTTATGTGGCTCAAAATCCTTTCCAGATGTTATTTCAGTTGGTCCTTTTATAAATTGGGTTACCTTGGGGGATATCCTTGCAGAGTCCTTTATTCAATAAGTAATTGGAAATGAGCCAAAGTAGGGGCTGGTCCTGAGCTATGGATTTGGGTGTCATTTGCATAGAGATTATAATTGCGTTTCTCAACCACTTAAGGGCCAGTATGTTATAAAAAATGTGAAATTACATAGTCTTAGAAGGCAAATCCTAGGGGCCTAGGAAGGAGATGCACCATTTCTTAATAACTAAAATTGGAACCAGTGAAACAAAATCAGAAGTATATTACAGGAGCACTCTAGGACAGGGCACTTTTGGACAATTCACTTTCAAAAGCCCTCTGTTTGTACCCATTCTTCAATATCTTCATCTGACTGACTCCTTTCTTTTTGGGAGGCATTTCTCAGCACCTCCCCCCTTCACCCCCACCTCCAGCACAGCTCACCACCCCCTTCTTCATGCCTGGAGATTGCACACATATGACCAGCAACTTCTTTGTAGTTTTCTGCTTTTGGCTTCTTGGAGAGTTAACCCTCAGTATAGATTTGCATCAGGGTTCACGTATGGAAGACATAAAATACACCTTGATAAAAGAAAAAAGAGATAAGGTTGGAGAGAAGCATACATCTATTTGCTTTGAGAATCAGACAATGTAGAAGTGGGATAGATCTTAGAAAATTCTGGAAGCAATAGCACATTTATTCATAGTATTGAACTTGACAAAATATCAGGTAATCATTAAATTATTTAATAAGTACTCTGAAGAGGTAGCTAAATCTTACAAGGTTATCTTTGGGGGAGATAAAAATAGAGATGATTCCTGTTGACTAATGATTCTTTTCCAAAACCACCCTTTTATGCAAGAACCACTCCATTTAGGAACACAGGCTTATTTTTTCCAGACATTCGCATGGTTTATTTAGCTAGTTTGTGAAAGAATTCACACCTGAGTTCACTGGGAGGCTCTTGTTTCTGAGTTTTGGAAAAAAAACACCCATTTATCTCTGTAGTGCTAATTTCTCTGATACTATCACCAAAACATCTAGGTAGCAGCGGAGCAGAAATTTAGGTGGAGTTTCCGAGTATCAGCCCAACCTTCCTGTTTTAACCCCCAGTGTGGTCACATGAACCTGCCTTACCTTGGGTCTTTTTGTTATAGGAGTAAGTCCATGAGTGATGTCAGCGCAGAGGATGTTCAGCACCTGCGTCAGCTGCATTACGACGAAATGCAGAAAATAAAATCACAGTTGAGAGAACAAGATCAGAAATGGCAAGATGTGAGTATTCTTTCTATGAGGAGATACAAAGACTGGGAGTGTGTCTTTGCTCTTTATGGAAAGTCAGTATATTCGAGACATTTACCTTTGCGGTTACAGAACTCGGTTCTGTAGAAAATGTCTTCAGTTTCATGGAAGAGGATTTATAAATTTTTTTTGGCCTATGACTCTTGCTTTTCTTATAGTTCATCAGAAGAAATATTTAGATAATTTAACTGCTGAACTCTGTTACAAAACTGTGATGTTGCTTTCTTGCAATACAACCGATTAACTTGCTTACCTGCTTTGGTGGTCGAATTTGAGGAGTGAATGTTATTGATCCTTGTGAAAAGAAAATACTGTGTTTGAGGTTTGGGAATAGAAGAGTGATTGGTGGGTCAAACACAGAGTACTGGCAAGTAGGATAAGAGGAAACCAGTTCTCAGAGTTAATAGGGATTTAAGGTTGGGGAATAAGAATTATAACCCAGTAAAATGTTGGTTGAAAGGAATTGATCCAACATGAATCAAATGAGATGTTTCTGTAGAGATGGCATATATTTAAATATATAAATATGTCCAGAGATTTATGCTTCAATTTTGTTCCTATAGAAAAGACTTTAACCTTTTTTTTGAAATGGACAATTGTTATAAACCAAGAGCGTAATGAAATGTAATAGACTATGCAGAAAAACCTCAGAAAAGTTTGAGAATGTTTTTTTAAGAGAGTGGCAACATGAAAATTAGGGGTGGTGATCATCAATACTATTTTTTAAAGGAATTATAAATCAGTGAAAGTAAGATTTTGATTACTTTTCTAAATTTCAGTGCCTCTTTCACTTGAGGAATTGAGTAAAACCACAATTATATGTTTATATATATTTACTATAAAGTTCAGAGACGCACTGTCACAGCTGTTTGGGTATGAAAAAAATATGTATTGGGGAGTTATTTAGTAAGTTAACTGATTTGAAAAATTCATGCTCTTTATACCATAGCACATTACCTGCATTTATTCTTTTTGAAAATTACTCATAATTATTTGACGCTGCTTTTTAAGCAAGAGTTGCCCTGATAGCTCCCAAAGATTATAAATCAAATTTAGTTTAGTGCTTTAGACCTAGGAAGTATTTGTATTTGACTTAGATGACAGTCATTTAGCACAGGATTTCTCTGTTTGGGGGACACAGATATGTTTACTACCCAGAATGTCCACTCAGGTATCTGAACCAGGTGAGATTCTTAGGGCTAATTTAAACACTTGGTTAGGTTGATTGCCCTGGGATTACCCAGTGAGGTTCACCTTGAGGTGTGGTAAACAGGTGCCCACTTGTCCCTGTGTTATCATTTTTTGGGGAGTGGGGGTTTAGGGCCACACCTGGTGGTCCTCATGGTCTACTCCTGGTTCTGTGTTTAGGGGTCACTCCCAGAAGTGCTCAGGGGACCATCAGGGATTACAGCAGGCCTCTTGCATTGGATTATATATTTAGTCTCTTGGGTTACCGCTTCAATCTTGCGTGCTCTTTCTTGTTGCCCTGTCCTTATGGGGAGTTTATCTGCTTTGAAATAACACTCCACTCTGACCTCCCTGGTGAAGACTTTCCAAACCCAACCCTCCCCTGCCTGGGATAGAAGAGACAACCTCTCTCTCAAGGTGCCCTTTCCTGATCCCAGTATGACCCTGATTTACAAGTCAGTATTTTTTCCCTTTGAGATTGAGAGTTCCTTGACCTGGAAATGTGTGTGTGTGTGTGTGTGTGTGTGTGTGTGTGTCTGTGTGTCTAGGTTGATCCATTGTGTCCAGAAGAGGAGGGATGGTGCATGTGTGTTCATTGAGAGCCTGGACATGCCTCTATTGCAGTCATGTCTCTCGGTATCACAGGGGAAGTGTGTCATCTCCCACAACCAACAAATCACTGGAAGGAGATAAAAATGAGTTAGAAACAGTTCCTGATCTTTCTGACCTAGCACCTCATTACAGGCACTTAGTATTCTTTGTGAAATGAGGCATGCTCTTTCTGAGAAAACTGAAAAAAAAGAAAGAAAAAGAAAGGGGTCTATCTTATTAGGTCAGGTGTTTGAGACAGACACATGAGAAAAAGGCTTGGTACAGAAACCCTGGCTGTAAAAAGCAAAATTAGGGCATCTTGGCATGCAGCGGGAGTGGATAGTTTCAGGGATGTAATGGGATATTTTGGCATGTGTTCCCTGGTAGAAAGAGTGTGTAGAAATTCAGGTATGCCTGTGCTGATGTGATTTTTCTTCTATCAGGACCTTGCCAAATGGAAAAGCCGTCGCAAGAGCTACACCTCGGAACTGCAGAAGAAAAAAGAAGAGCGGGAAGAAATTGAAAAACTGGCTCTTGAGACATCAGAGAAGAGCTCTAAGACTTTTAAGGAAATGCAACAGGACAGGTAACAAGGCTGACTGTGTCTCCCAATTGGGAGATAGCAGGATTAGAAATAATCAGTAGCATAGCAGGATATCCGGTGTGTACCAGTATTAACTGTAATCAAATGTGCACTGGAACTGCCAACCTTTTGCTCTGCAGTGCAGCAAAGAGCATTACTATGATACAGAGTGATTCGTATTGACAAAAGAAACATATGCTATTTATTCATTTTAATATTATGTGTCACATGCAGAAATGAATGAAGCTGATGGTATTGGATGCAGAATATAAACTGTTCTTTCTGCCTTTAGTATGTGTTTAGGAATTAATCAGTCAAGTAAAAGCAATTTTTAAATGAACTGTGTGAAATGTAACATAATGGTTGTGTGTTGTCTCTCTTGTGTGTGTATATGTGTGTGTGTTTTAGTGGAATTTAAATATTTAAAATATATTCTAAAGGAAGATGAAAAAGCAAATTTTGTTTTGTTTTGTTTTGTTTTTGCTTTGCACCCTAGCAAGATAAAAGCTAAATTTAAACTTTCTTAGTTTCTGTGAAACCTCAGGGTATTTACAGGTCAGGGAGAAGGCAAATAATTTTATGTGTCATGCCAAGAAGGAAATGTGCTGTCAGGTGAAATGAAACAAAGCAGCATTGTGCCCTAGAATCTGATGTAAACACAGTTTCATTCAACTAAATGCAATATAGCTTGAGAGCTACTCCTTATTAAATAGTACAGATGAGATTATTTCATCGACTTTTTAAACATGGCTACTTTTAAGAAAAACTTCTATTGAAGTCACATTGCATTATAGCGTTACATAATTTCAAGTGTATATCATTATCAGTCATGTTTGTGCATGCTCCATTAAACATACCACTAGAAAGAAGTACAGTTCACTGGAATGGTAACTTTTTTACTTTTTATTTTTTTTTTTATTAGTGAAACACCATGAGGTACAGTTGTAGATTTACAATTTTTTGTGCTTGGGTTTGATTATACAATGATCAGATACCCATCCCTCCACCAGTGCCCATTTTCCACCACCATGGATAATATCCCCCCCCACCCCCATCCCCCCATCCCCCCTGTCTCTGTGGCAGGGCAATCCCCTGTGTTCTCTCTCTCCTTTTGGGTGTTGTGATCTGCAAAAGAGGCATTGAGTGGCAAACATGTTCAGTCCATAGTCTACTTTCGACATGCATCTCCCCTCCTGGGAGGATCCTTCAAACACCCTTTCTTTGGTTTTCCCTTCTCTATCTGAGCTGCCCTTTCCTCTAGAATGCCCGACTGGCCACTAAGCTATGGAGTACTCCTCCTGGTGCTGATCTCAGCTATGGAATGGTAACTTTTAAATTGAATAGTAACTGTCCAGGCATCAAGCTGTATAAAATAATATTCCAATTTGATTTTAAAGGAAATTTTAGTGTTTTTCTGAGTCTTAGTTCTTTATTTTTACTAAATAATAGTAATGATTATTGTTAGTAGTTTTGGGATCATCCATGGTGGTGCTTAGGGTTTACTCCTGCTCTGTGCTTGGGGTCTTTCTTAACGGTGCCTAAGGGAGACCATATTGGTGCTGGGGATTGAAACAGGGTCAGCTGCATGCAAAACAAGTACTTTAACCACTGTTCTATCTCTCCAGCATAAAATTATTATAAATTGTATACTGGAAAAAGTTCTCAACACTGACCACACATTTTGTTTTTTCAAATTGGTTGTCAGTTAGTGCATTTATAAGGGTTTATTTTGGAAAAATTATAAATCTTTAGATAAAATTGTAAATAATCCTCTTAAATTCTTATATTTCCTTATTGAAGTCTCTATAATGAAAAACATCTCTAAGGTACTTGGGAGACTCAATGTCAAGCTCTTATAATCAGAGTGGATTTAAAAAGTGGCATGTGCTGATCTTCCTGCTGTTAATTTTGTATTGATTGTGTGAAGTCAGTAGTTTTAAAAAGCAAACTCCAGTCTGTTTTACATGCTAGTTACCAAAACAAGATTTGTGGGTCCATTTCTGTGTTTCGAATGCATAATATCGTGCTTGTGGTTTGTTTCTTCCTGCAAAGGGAATCTCGAAATCAAACATCTACAATGACATCGAGGAGGAGAATTTACTCTTCTGATGATCTGTTAAGTGAAGAAGTGTTTCCCCCTTCATCAACCACATCAGAAGCAAGTGATCAGAGTGGCAGAGTGGAAGAGAAAGGAACGGCATCTCCTGTAGAAACCCCTAAACAAGATCCTACAACTTTAGCAAAAACAGAGGACAGTATCACGGTTGAAATTCAGCTTCCTTCTAAAAGCTCCATGGAAGAACAGCAAGAACAGCAGCCGGTCTCTTTGTCTTCTCAGCAGCCCGTCTCTTTGTCTTCTCAGTACTCCTTGAGCACACAAATGGAGTCGACTCGAGTTTCAGCTTCTTTCCCCAGAAGTTACCAGAAAACTGATACTGCCAGGTTAACATCTGTGGTCACAGCGAGACCTTTTGGCTCACATTCAAGAGGAATCACATCACTCCCAAGATCCTACACGGTAAAAATAATCTTAGTTCATTTTGTCTGTTATTAGGAATATGTGTTGGTGAATTTGCAGACTTCAGCTGCACAGACTTGGTGTATAATAATATACAAGACTTACATAGAAAATAAATCATCATGTAGAGTCACCTATTCACAGCCCCTAGAAATTAAGTACTTCAAATACAGAACTGAACTGCCTGAACTTCATGTTCAGTGAAAGTAGTTTTAAAGAATAAGATAGATTCTAAGGCATAGCATTATATTAATGTCATATTTGCTCAAATAATTGTATTGGAATAAATTAGGCTAAACAGTATGGTGTTGTCCATACTGTTCTTTATGACTGATGAGAAGGCAACCCATAGCAAACTTCTTATGATTTTAACTTAAATGTTTTCAGATGCTGTGTTCACATTTCTCTTTTTCCTCTTATGTCCATGTATTGTCATCATCACTGTCATCCCGGTTTATCGTCGAATTACTCAAGTGGGCGCAAGTAATGTCTCTATTCCTCCCAGCCCTGAGATTTTTAGCAGCCTTTTCTTACTTGTATTTTTCCAATGATTGCAGGCTCTTTCAGGGTCAGGGGAATGAGACCTGTTGTCGTTACTATATTTGGCATATCGAATACGCTACGGGGAGCTTGCCAGGCTCTGCCTGTGCAGGCGGGATACTCTCGGTAGCTTGCTGGGCTCTCCAAGAGGCATATATTTATATATTTTTCACCATGATTTGTTGCCTACTGTCTGAATCCCATCAGATATGGTGTAATAATTGTGGAAAATGGGTAGGAAGTGTCTTATAATGTGTCCAGAAAGCGACCTGGAGCGTGGCAGTGGTTGGGTAGTGGAGGTCGGATGCCAGAGGGCTCTCACGCACCCCACAGCCTGGCTCTGAGTCCAGTGGCATGGTTCTGGGAGCCTCATTTTATACTCTTGTCTGGGAGGAGCATCCTGAGTTCTGGAGGGTGGCCGATGAGGAGATTATCTCCTCATGGTTCATGTATTAGAATTTGAAATGTTTAGATATAGTCGTTAAAAATTTTCTTATTGTTTAAAAATATGTTTCCATTTATATTGGGATTTTAGGAATATGCAATATGGAATCAACCCTGAGAATGCGAATGCCACAGGGCCACATTGCTGAAAGTCTATGAACTTTATTTATGTAAAGTTAATACTACATAGTGAATCCAACTGTTTGAAATCTCAAGATCCATACTCAAATTCTAGAAAACTGAACAACGTTGAATATAGTATCAAATGGATACATCACAGCCATCCCTCGTGTGGAGTGAAAGAAACTGCTTCAATTTTTAGCAGTTGTGAACTTTTGTAGTCTTAAAATATGAATGTATACCTTTTCAGACAAATAAATCTAAGGTGGCACCAACTTTTGCATGATGTTTCCTATTTAGCTGGATGATTCCTGGAAGTATAATGGAGATATAGACAGCAGTAAGAGGACGCAGACCAGTTCCGGCACCATGACGCGGACCCTGGACCCAGTCCCGCTTGCACCCAGCTTGTCCAGTGTGCAGGAGACCACTGTAGAGAGTGTCACACAAGGCCCCTCTCCTACCTCTTCCTTGGCCTCTCTTTCCCAGGACCAGCCTGCCACTTCAAAAGCCACATTGTCTTCCATGTCTGGTCTTGATTCCATGTCCGAGTCTGGGGAAGGGCCAGGCTCCCCTCAGAGGGAGGTTTCAAAGTCACAGGTGAGTCTAGGAAGTCTCTTTGTTGCATGTTGCATCTCACCTTATGATTTCATTTTTTTTTCTTGAATCTGTGTAGTTATTCCATGACATGGCATGCATAGACATACCCACACAGGCATGCACACAGAGAGAGAATTTTTTTTTTCTCTTTGGGTCACACCTGGCGATGCTCAGGGATTACTCCTGGCTCTGCACTCAGGAATTACTCCTGGCGGTGTTCAGAGGACCATATGGGATGCTGGGAATCAAATCTGGGTTGGCCACATGCAAGGCAAACACCCTATCCGCTGTGCTATTACTCTATTTCTTCAGCCCCCAGAGAGAACTTTAAAAAACCCAGAACACCAAGGGAAAGAGGAAATAAATTCTTTTTTTTTGGGGGGGGGTTACACATGACAATGCACAGTGGTTACTTCTGGCTCATGCACTCAGGAATTACTCCTGGCGGTGCTCAGGGGACCATATGGGATGCTGGGAATCAAACCTGGGTTGGCTGTGTGCAAGGCAAATGCCCTACTCACTGTGCTATTGCTCCAGCCCTGAGGAAAGGAATTCTTAAATGTTCTTTAGACCTTTTTAGAAATATGGAGTTGTTCCTTTGGCCACTTACATAAAGATCTACCATAAAGGTAATATTAAACATAAGGGGAATGGAACTTTTCCAAAAAAGAATGCATCACAAGTAGTACCATGACAAAACTGGAAGAATCTATAATGTTACCCAGCATTGCTATTGGCATTGTTATATAAAAACAGGTAAAGACAAAACAACTTCCTTCTTCATCCACCTGCCATTGGATAACTGCTGCTTCTACATCCTGGGTGTTCTATTAAATGCTGCTCTGATCATTCGTTCATGCTCATCCTTTCTCGTCAGTGAGTTCTGCTATAGAGAATTTTTACGACCCAGAATCCTATAACAACCTGGTTGTTATAGTCTGGACTGTGATCATATGTCAAATGAGATTGTATTTTTATTTTAACAAATTCTTGAAAGTTCTCTTCCAACTTTGAGTTTGTTGGCAGCAGGTTTCTTTGTGATCTACATGTGTTGAGACTTTTCGGACCCATCTCTTTTGGACTTGGTTCTTTGTTTCTGTCCTCCTGATTGTCGTGTCGGTAGCCTGACATGTTTAGTGCTCAATACTCCCAAATTTCAGGGACAAGAGTCACTCCAGAGATTATTGATGCAGGTCTAACAGATAAGGGTGATAGAAGCCCCTTTTCAGGGAACTTAACTGAACGTTAGAAGAAACTGAAGGTACACATTGGAGGTGCTGGCTTCTATGGACATGGGAGTTTGTTTTCTAGCATATTAACCTTCCAGTAACTTTTGATGCTGGGCAATACTTTTGAGATTCTGCACTATTGCACCATCTCTTGTCTCTTATATTGCATGTTGGGAATATTGAGGATGAGTTATTGCATTTCTTAACATTTGAAGGCAAAGCAAAAGATGTTGTTTGATAAAGAATGACTGGGAGTTTTTCCTACTTTAAATTCCAGTAGATAACTTCGAAAAGAATCGGTAGATAATGACTATGACTTATTATATCCTAAATGTTGGTTAAAAAGTCATTGGTTATCTAGTGTTTCCTCAATATTTTTCCAGTCGAGACTCCCTCCCTAGTTTTCTTCCTTTTTGCTTCCTTCCTGTGAATTCTCCTCCCCCTCCCCCATCCTTCCTTTTGCCCTCCCCCCCCCCCCCCCCCAGTCTCATGCCGTGGGCCACTATTTCCTGATTTTCACCTCTTGTCCCCTTGGAATATTCTGGACATTAGGCTCTAGATGGAGAAACATCCATTTAGATGATAGGAAACTTTTTATTTAGATTTTTTTGGTAAGGAATTAGATAGTTGTAATGGAACCTAGTATCCCAGATGAGTGCTTTCAGTTCTTTGGCTTAGTCTAATGCTGTAGTTTGAACCAGCTGATCTGCATGTATAAAAAGGTTGGAAACTACTGGCTTAGGGTTTCTCATGTGTCTTAGTAGAGCCTATATGTTTTTCATATCTAGAATCAAGCATAGAACTTGGCCAATGTATATTAATGAGATAACTGTGAAATAACTTGGTATAGCATATTCTACTTTTTTGTTTGCTTATTTTCGGGCCACACCCATTAGTGATCAGGGCTTACTCCTGGCTCTGTGTTCCCTTGCTGGGCTCAGGGGACCATATAGGGTGTCAGGGATTGAATCCAGGTGAGCTATGTGCAAAGTAAATTCCTTCCCTGCTGTACTATCTCTCCGACCCTAATATAGTATGTTTCATTTAAATTTTAGGACAGACAAGCTTTAAAAGTAGCAGAATGAGCATTTTCTTCTCATTTTAAAGTGCTGTATGCTTGAGAAAATTTGGAAATGCGGGAAAATTTTATGTCACGAACACCACTATAATCCTCTCATTTAGAGATCAACTTGGTTAATAATTTTGTTTTTTTCTTACCATAGTCACTTTCAAATGTGTGTATATATTTATGTAATCTATTCAACTTCTGATGACATTAATTGTAATCTAAAATATTTTTAATAGTTAGAAGTTTGTCATTGGAATCCTAAATTCATGTGGATAAGATTTGCTTACCCTTGTATAATCAAAGGTAGCAGTGAATGATCAGTACAGGCAGAAGCAAGGCCTCTTTTGTTTTGTGGACTTGCATCTTTGCCTTGACCTTTTCAAATCACCAGTTCAACAAAAGCGCCTGAATAATGTATTGTGCAGTAGCTGATGGTAACTCCCCGAGGGTGGCAGCTGATGGAGCTGCAGTCACGGATTAAATAAAAGAGGCCAAATGTGGGGTGGGCTGTGCTTGAGGTTATTGCCATCCAGAAGAACCTCATGTAACATGGCATGGTTTCCTGTTTCATTGCTGACTTATCTGGGCTTCTTTGCCACCGATTTGAAATGGTCTTCAAGCCAGCAAAATTCGGTTTTATTTAGCAAGTGAGTGGAGTCATTTGGGATTCTTGCACTCGCATGTCACACAGTGGCTTGCCAGCAGTCCTAGGGGCTTGGCATGTCCACTTGCACACTGTGAGGAAAGTAGCTTATGTAGCATCTCCCCATGGCCCTCGATGAAAAGGAGCTCATTGACTGTGTGAAGGAAGATGTCAGTGAATACAACAGCACGTGGAAAGGAAGACAAGGGCATCTGCACCCCTCCTCCAAACCCTCATCCACACTGTGTTATTTTAGGAATCCAATCAACTGCAGAAATCAAATGTGGAACTGATCAGTGAGGTGTCTTGAAATCTCTGTAGCAGAGTATTCTTCAGGCTGTTTTCACCTTCCCTCCCCTCCCCCCTTTGTTGTGGTCACTTGCTATTTCCTCATCCTCTAGACTCTTCCTTGATGCTGTTATTTTCCATCCCTCTGGCCACTGCCTAATTCAGACTTCTTCTCCCTCAATGCAGGCAGGTGTGTCTGTTGTAGCACTGTCCTCCCATTGTTCATCGTTTGTTCTAACGGTTACATTGCGAGACTTGTTACTGTTTTTGGCATATCGAATACGCCATGGGGAGCTTGCCAGGCTCTGCTGTGTGGGCAGGATACTCTCAGTAGCTTGCTGGGCTCTCCGAGAGGGATGGAGGAATAGAACCCGGGTCATCCACGTCCAAGGCAAACACCCTACCTGCTGTGCTATTGCTCCAGCCCGGTGTGTATGTTATGTTATGGAGCATCAAATCAATATGCTTCATGTCAGGCTAGAACTCATCCTTTCCCTGCTCTGCAGCCTCTCTAGGCCTCTTTGGTCTGTTGACAGATGCTCTGCACACTCCATGGAGCACTGAGTGCCCACACTACCGTTCCCACATAGCTGAATTCCTTCCACATGCCTACCAGGCTTCTCAGGGGACTGTCTTCATTAATCCCCAGCACCCCTGAGCCGTGGGAAAAGGAGCAAGGCCGACTGGTGTTATTTGCCTTAATCCATTAGGTACTGAGTAATGGAGTCAGGATTTGAGCCCCATAGTCTAATTGAAGGTTCCCGTACCCCATACTTTTTGTAGGAACCAAAGGGGAAGTCACCGTCTTAGTCATGTGAGACTTTCTGCTTTTTCTTGGGCACTTTATATAGTGTCATAAACCCCATGTATATATTTGTTCATATTTTTACCCATTTAAAAATGTCCATTTCATCTGTCTCTGTCTTTTGATGTTCTTTCCCAAAGCCCAGTAGGGTCACTTTCTGCAAGAATCAAAGTATTTCCTGTTCACAGGTTGGAATTAAATCTTTTCACTAGAAAATGGTCATGAACTCATTCTTATTCCTAATGTTCATCGTTTCTCATCACTGGCATATTTCATGCCATCCAAGGTCTTTTCATATAGTTGGCACTTAAAAATTTGCCTACTGCAATTGCCTTTAAGGCCTTGATTACTAAATTGAAACATGAACTTGATCCAGCAGGTAATTTAGGTGTTAATGGGTTCTTTCATGTGGGAATTTTAAGATTAGGGGTGGTTTTAGAAATGCACTGTGTTGTTGCATAGAATTATTTCACAGGAGCAAAGTTTTGGGGTGGAGACTGGTTGGCCATCTAAGACAGAATTGTGGAAATGATGTGCCTTATGTCCTAAAGAAGGAGCTGAGTAATGAAGGAAAGCTTATTTGAAACCTGCCAGAATTTTTTTCCCCGCCTCTATTGCTGAACTGGGGAATCTGTTCCTTACTGGTTCTCTTTCTTTCCCAGTTCTTATGATATTGTTGCTTTGCTTCCCACCCCCCCCCCCCCCCCACCACCACCACCACCTTGTCAGCCCAGATTGTCAGGGAATCTCTGAGGTGAGCCTCATCACCGGGAGAGAGGAGAACTCCCAGAGTGTGTAATCTTCCTCCAGTTTCCTCATCAAGGTAACGCTCGTGATTTTTACCCAAAGTGGCTTTGTCTATGGGTTCATTTTCTTGTCTGTCATGACAGAGGGTAGATCTCATATTCAGAACCCGTCCAAACCCACACCAAAAACAGCTCCAGGCTCATTTTATTGCATTCATTC